CGTCCCGCTCCTGTCGGCGCCGCCCCTCGCGCCTCGGCCCCCGCCCGGCTTTGCGCGCCCCTCTCGACCCCCGTCCCCCGGCCCGGATTTTCTCTCCCCCCGCTCCTCTCCCCTCTCCGCGCTCGCACGCGCTCTCGCCTCCTCTCCCAGGGTTCATTCACATTATTGGAGCGAAGGAAGCCGAGGCTCGGGTTCCCAGGAGGACGGAAGGGGAACCGCGTTGCCAGCCACCTCGCTTACTCAACCCAGGACACCCAGCCTTCCCTTACCGGCCCTGGGGACTCTCTCGGTTGTGGAGTGTGTGTGTGTGCGTGCGGGTGGTGGCCCTCCTTTCCCCGCGTACGAATCTGTGCCTTTACCTGGCGATGGACGGGGTAGGCGCAGTCTGGCGGTGGGCGTGTTCGGGTCGGATTTCCAGAAGCCCCAGATGTGGGTCCCAGCTGAGAGACATTACAGGCCAAGCCAGGCCCTGGCCCCTTCCCTCTCCCCCCTCCCCCAACTGCTCCCGCCTCCCACCCGCTCCTCCAGGGGACCCAGCTTTGGGGTTGAGGGAGAAGAGAGGTGTCAGCCAGAGGTCATTTGGGAAGCACAGAGAATCCCTGTCTGGCAGAGGGATGATGAGTTTGTGATTGAAGAGGGGGCTCCCCTCCCTTACTACATTTCTGGTGGTCTAGTCCTGTGAGGCCAGGAACAGCCCAGTTGTATTCGATTCAAACACCGCAGCCCTCAGCTGTTCCCCTCGTTCTTCTAGCTCCTTCTTGAATACCTTTATTTCTTTTGGCTTTTCCTCTCCTCGAGCTTAACTGGCTTTCCCTCACCTCTGTCCCTTTATTGCCAGTCTCTGCCTCAAGCCCTGCTGGCTTCATTTAATTGCCTTTGCTGCTGGAATGATCCCAACCTGGACACACTCCCTTGTCCTCGAAGCCAATGCAGGCTTCTTCTCCTTCAAAACCCAGCTCCAAACTCTTCCCTCCAGGAGGTCCTCGGAGACCAGCACCCGGGCGTCCAGCGTGCCTTTACTTCCTCCCTCCCCAAAGCTCGTGTGGTTGGCCGCCTTGATGGCTGTCCTGGAGCTGCTGCACTGGACCCCCAGGAAACTGAAAGCCGAGATGTATGCCGAGAGCTGCTGGTCTTCTTGCAAGGCGCAGCTTAAATTTCACCTCCATTTCTACCACCTTCCCTGGCCCCCACGACCCAAGGAAAATTAATGACCTCGTGCTAGAATTACTGGTCTCTCTTCCGGGAGATTGTGAGGCTTTCTCATGTCCGACGTATATGGGAAGTGCTGAAGAAATGTTTGCAGAGTGAAAGGTGTTCCTTGTCCCCTGGAAAATTATAGTCTGATTGGGGGGAAATAGAGCATATCAATAAAACCCAAGATAATGTAGCCCAAGGACCAGACTGGCTGCATTAATTCATATTTGTGGCCCCTTCTCCTGCCTTTGGGGTGTCTGTTCGTGCCTCCCCAAAGTCTGAGAGATGAGAGCTGCCACCTGTATTTTACTTTCACCCACCTGCCACCTGGTCTGGGGTTCTGCACACAGCAGGTGCTCAATGTATGCCTGAGGGTGCACACCAGGTGTGAGATGGCTTGCTCTGGCTCAGAACAGGGCTGCCTTCTTATGTCCCTAAAAGCCACAAGGATAAATTCTGGTTTCTGTTCTCAGAGAGCACCCAGAAAGGTAGATCTCAAGCTTTCTTCTTCTTCTTCTTCTTCTTTTTTTTTTTTTAGGAGCAAATCTTTGCCTCAAATTAAATCTTAAACAGAAGCCCAACATAAATAAATCAGGTCTCCTACCAGTTCGCCATGTAGGTAAAAGCTGGCATTGCTCTGGTTAAACAGGGGACCCAGAGTACCTGTACCTACCCACCTGCACCACTCCCGGCAGCCCCCAAAGCACCCCTGTGGACCTAGGTTTCCACAAAATATGGTGTGAAAACCAACATCCTGAGCCAGCTTCTGGGTCCCTCGGGGATATCCCTTCCACCCTGTCCCCCTTGCAGTCTTTCTCGGGGACTTTGAGAGAAATAAATGGAAACAAGATAAATGGATTTTATTTATCTGTGGGGTGGAGCGGGGGTGAGTAGCTTCCCTCAATCTGCTCTTAGGTCTGGGAAGTGACACATGGGTGGTGGGGCCCTCTTCCAAGCCAGCGATCCTCATGTTAATTCCATGGAAACAGAACAGAAATCTTCATTCATCAGAGCCCGACTGGATCAGCTCCCACCAACATTCCGAGGAGCATGTGGGAGAGTGGAGACAGCCCTGGACCAGGAGCCAAGATGTCAGCATCTCAGGCTGGCTCCATCACTAACTAGAGGGTATATCTTGGACAAGCCAGAACCACCTGAGCGAAAGACACCTCTCCAGTCCCCCTCTCAGAGTGCTTTTGAGGGTCAAATAAAGTAGCCTTGCACATTGCATACACTTAGTCACTTAGCGACCATTTGTGGAATCAGTAGTAAATGCTCCCTTTTCTACTTGTTTTTGGAGACAGTGAGCCAGACACTGTCTAGCGGATATACGTTACTACATCATCTGTTATTCTCACTGTTATCCCCCTTACAATACCTGGGGAATCCGAGGCACAGAGAAGTTGAGTAACTTGCTCAAGGTCTCACACCTGGAGGGTCTCAGCTCAGATCCCGATGACCAGAATATTTCAAGGGCAGCAAACTGCTTCTTTGTCTTTGTCGAGTGCCACTTGACCGTGTTATATATTACCTGTTGATGTGGGGGAAGGGGACTCCAACGGGGCTTGGCAGTTTGCCTTTCTATCTGTGGACGCTCAACTGGCAACCATGCTTAGTTCTGAGATGGCGAGGGCGTAGGCTGTGGAGTCAAGTAAGGACTTGACCACCAGTGAAGGGAGCTGGAGCAAACTCAAGACTGTCTGAGACCGTTCATCATGCCTGGGTGAGCCCAATTTAAATCTGGAAATTTCTGCTCAGCCGGATTAGAGAACTCTAAGTGGCAGTATTTAACTGCTGCCTGAGGTCCCTGGAGTTTCTGCCATGTGACATTTCCAGATCCGAGGGAGGGATGTGTCTTTTGCTTGCTCAGGAGGAGGTTCTGGGTTGGTCTTGTTCTGGAGAGACTGGACACTTGACATCTTCCCTTCCCTCGGGGAGCTGCTCAGTGTAAGATCTACTGTTGGGGGGAGGGGCAAGCCATTGCACCTCTGTGGACAGCTGAGCAGGTGGAGATATTTAGACCAGTCCTTCAAAGCCGTCTTTTTCAACACAAACTGGTTTCTTTCCCTCTCACCAGATCATTTGGGTAATTACCACAATTCTTCACTTTACTTTGGCTGTGAAGACAAAGCTTTCAAATTAGCTCAGAACCCTTCGATGATCCCAGCTCCAAGGGGAGGCAGCGGGTCGGTGGCTGTGGGAGGGGAGTACACATTAGACTGTTCACGCTGTGTAACGTGCATGTCAAAGCCACCCAGCATCTGCAGTCAGGGCGAGAAGGAAGGCAGAGGCCCTCCGCCAGCGAGGGGAACACGGTTCCGAAAGCCCTCATTAAAAGCTTTGCTTTCCCCCTTTGTCCTCCAGAAATAATGACCTTTGTGTGGCAACTTTTTGTAATATCTCATTTCCATGCCCAAAGCAGATGGTTCTGCTGATTTCAGAAGATTTAATGGGGGTGGGGAGGGGGATATTTGGAGAGCCAGGGAGATATTTCCGGTGAATAGACATAAAGAGTGATTTTGATTTTCTATAGCAAAGGGTTGGGGATGAGTCTTAGAAGGTTCCGGGGCTTGGCTCAGTGTGGAGGCTTATCGGCAGCCCATCCAAGCTGCTCAGAATCCGAGAAGAATGCCTCCAGATCCTGGTACTGACAGCCTCCCCTCCATCAGATTATGCACACCGCAAGAATGACTTTTTTCTTTTTCTTCATATTTCAGTAGGTTCCTTTGAGGAACAGCACAGATCAGAAAAGGCTTCTTGGCTTTGTGTATTCAAGTTTATTCCATTTCATTTGCTTATCACTTATATCCCATTCAAGGTGGTTGGAGCTGGATATGCAGCCTTCTTTTCTCATCTCCGCCACAAATAAAGCGGGGGTGTGCTCACCGTCTCCACGCCAGGCCAACCCCTAGAGGTGCGGAGGGAAGCGGTGGCATTTCCTGAGTACCCTCAGTGTGCCACTTCCTGTGTGTGCATCATTTCGTCTCATCGTGGCAACAACCATATAAGGTGGATGCCTTTACCCCCATTCTGTAGGAGATGCACCTGCAGCTAAACAGAGTCAGTGGCTGAGCTGGGATTTGAACCCAGTTCTGCCTGAGCCCAGTCAAGGTCTGCCAGCTACCAGAGGGTGCCAAGGTTCAGGGTCTTCGAAGTCCCTCTGCCCACATCTCCTTCCTCCTCTGCTCCTCTTCCATGTATTTATCCAGATGAAATCAGGTTCAAATGACTAGCAAAGTCACAGGAGGGCGGAGAGGTTAAGGGAGGGCTGCACCTTGCCACCCCAGGGGCAGGGAGGTGTGGGGGGGGCGGGATGGAGCACACTCCCCATTTCTTGGACAGGTAGGTCGGGTGGGGCTGATGTCAGGTGCTGGCAACCAGCCTTAGGAGCCTACCCTCCTTCTCCTCCTCCCTGGTTCCTACTCCCAGTGCCTGTCCTGGTGCTGGCCACAGCGGAGGGCAGAAGGCCACCCCTCATCCAGGGTGCCAC